GGATGAATGTTCACTTCTGAAACCAGACTGGTTGCTGTCCAGGAGGTTGTTCTGTGTGAGAAAGGCAGAGACTTGTTTGAACACAGCTCGTTCAAGTGTTTTTGCAATGAAACGAAGAAGGGAAACCAGTCTGTAGTTCTCTAAAAGAGATGGGTTAAGGGTGGGTCTCTTAAGTAGTGGGGTTATACGAAAATGTTTTAAAGAGCAAGAGAGAGTTAGACGAATTGTTAATTTTGTTATGATAGTATGTCCTTTTAGCATTGGAGACATTAACAGAGAAGGAAGAGAGGAGTGACTTATACGCATTAAGGTCAGTAGGATTTTTTGATTTGTCCCATACCCTTTCAGCAGCCCTGAGCTGAGAACGATGTTCGCGGAGAACATCATACATCCAAGGGGCAGAAAGGGTGGTACGAGCTGGCCTGGAAGACAAGGGGCAGACAGTGTCTAAACAAGATGTAAGAGTGGAGCAATATCGGTAGCACTGTGGAGGCAACATTTAATTTAAAAGTCTGTGAAAGTGATTTTGTGCCTCATTGGGATGGCACCATAAAGCGACGTTCACTTGCAGAACGCAAGCTTCTAGTGGGCACATAAATCTGAAGTAATGAATTTAGGTAAAGGGGTGCAGAGCTAGTGGTGGTTTTGTAGGCAAACATTAATGCCTTGAATTTTATGCGAGCAGTTATTGGTAGCCAGTGCAAACTGATAAACAGAGGTGTGATGTGCATTCTTTTCGGCTCTGTAGTTCTCTAAAAGAGATGGGTTAAGGGTGGGTCTCTTAAGTAGTGGGGTTATACGAAAATGTTTTAAAGAGCAAGAGAGAGTTAGACGAATTGTTAATTTTGTTATGATAGTATGTCCTTTTAGCAGTGGAGACATTAGCAGAGAAGGAAGAGAGGAGTGACTGATAGCAAGGCAGTCTTGGTTGAATGTCCACTTCTGAAACCAGACTGGTTGCTGTCGAGGAGGTTGTTCTGTGTGAGAAAGGCAGAGATTTGTTTGAACACAGCTCGTTCAAGTGTTTTTGCAATGAAACGAAGAAGGGAAACCAGTCTGTAGTTCTCTAAAAGAGATGGGTTAAGGGTGGGTCTCTTAAGTAGTGGGGTTATACGAAAATGTTTTAAAGAGCAAGAGAGAGTTAGACGAATTGTTAATTTTGTTATGATAGTATGTCCTTTTAGCATTGGAGACATTAACAGAGAAGGAAGAGAGGAGTGACTTATACGCATTAAGGTCAGTAGGATTTTTTGATTTGTCCCATACCCTTTCAGCAGCCCTGAGCTGAGAACGATGTTCGCGGAGAACATCATACATCCAAGGGGCAGAAAGGGTGGTACGAGCTGGCCTGGAAGACAAGGGGCAGACAGTGTCTAAACAAGATGTAAGAGTGGAGCAATATCGGTAGCACTGTTAGCATCAAGAGATGATAACTGTTTAGGGGGAGGAAGCGAAGATGTAATCATAGCAGATAGTTGGGAGGGTGAGAGTGAGCGTAGGTTACGTTGAAAGATGACATGTGGACTTGTATGTGTTGTGTCAGGATTCAGGAACCATGTTAAGGTTAAGAGTGAGGAGGAAGTGACCCGAGGTGTGCAGTGGAGTAACCAGTACATGATCAGTGGAGCAGTGTCGTGTGTAAATAAAGTCCAGTTGGTTGCCTGATTTGTGAGTAGCCGATCAGTATACAATGGAGATATCAAATTAAATTAGTTCATCTAGTAAATCGGTGAATCTAAGTGCATTCAGTGCTTTCATAACCCAAATACATATATGTATATAACAGTTGATTATCAGATTACCAATTGACAAATTAATACATTTTCCATATTTCCAATGGCCTTTGTCTGTGTGAATAAATTAATGGTTGAATAGAAGATTTAGAAGGCTAAGCCATATCTTCCATTTCAAGTACCTCATAGTTCTGTCTTAAATATACATTTTGTTTAGCAATTTCAGAGATGAGAAATTCTTTCTGAGACAGAAACACACTCACTCATTTGTACTCAATAAATGAGTCGACACATACACTAGAATCACACACCAGATCCTGTCTTCATTGTTATCCATTGTGGTAACAGAGTTGAAGTCATACGCTGTCAATTTAAAGAACAAAAGACAATAGAGTTCTGTAATGAATCACCACCATAACTGAAAATGTTTTTGACAGACTGGAATTATTTTGTAGTCTCAAATAATGTGTCCAAGTTGTTGTTCTTGTTGTTGTTTTGCCCTAAAAGGTCAAGCACACACACAAGATGCCCACAGCAATGTGATGCTTTGAAGTAGCCCTCAGGTCTCACTGTATTCAGTAGAGCTGGGCTTCAACTTTATTTATCAAAGGAGGACAAGGCAGAAATAGAAAAGAACTAAAGTAACCTTATGACAGAGACTATATATCTTACTATCCAGTGTTAGTTAGTAAATGCTGACACTGAAGTATACCTAATCTAACCACAAATTGTATTTAAAAAGTACAATGTTATTGTGCCTTACATGAAACAGGTTGAACCGGGTGGAATTTGACGTGCCGATGTGTGAGGGAAGGAGACAAGAGCGGCTTTACCTGATCGGAGACTTTTCCTCCTCCGCCGAGTTCTTCGTCACCATTGCTGTCTTTTCCTTCCTGTACTCCTTGTTGGCCACTGTGGTCTACATCTTTTTCCAGAACAAGTACCGCGAAAACAACCGTGGCCCTCTCATTGTGAGCCCTGGTGTTATTTTAGACATGCTAAATGCTTGAATCTCTGTCGAAGCCTTGCTATTAGAGAAGATTAATAAACAAGACATGAGCTGCTGTTTATACTGTAAAACACCCACATTAAATGTAGTCATACTTAGCATACTGTAATTCATTCTTGCATGCAAATCATAGTAATTGAGTGTAGAGCTTTTAGTGTGTAATTCTTTTAATGATAAAGTAGTTCTTGAAATTAGCAACAGAGTCTGAATCGAAATACATGTAACATGCTTTCTTGATGCTCCCCAGGACTTCATAGTGACGGTGGTGTTCTCATTTATGTGGCTAGTGAGTTCATCTGCCTGGGCAAAAGGTCTTTCAGATGTAAAGGCGGCGACTGATCCAGATGAGGTGGTTCTGCTCATGTCTGCATGTAAGGTGCAGACCAACAAGTGCAGCTCACTGTACGGACCCAGATGGTCTGGCCTGAACACATCTGTGGTACGGCATGAGTTACTCAGGTTACGCCACTCTAGCCACATACACTATATTGCCAAAAGTATTGGGACACCCCTTTCCAATGAACAGGTTACTTTAGTCATTTCCATGAGTAAAAATCTTAAATATGTTAAATGCTTATGTTAAAGCATATAATGATATTCTAAGGAATTGTGTACTTCTAATTTTATAGCAACAGTTTGGACAGGACCCTTTTTTATTCTAACATGACAATGCCTCTGTGTATAAGACAAGGTTCATGGAGAAATTATTGATTCAGTCAGTGTGGAAGAACTTGACTGGTCTGCATAAGCCAAGTTCTAATCCCTGCTGAACACCTCTGGTGTGACTTTAAATTCAGACCTTGAGCCAAAAACTCACCACCAAACACCAATGACTTGTACATACACTACATGGACAAAAGTATTGGGACACCCCTTTCTTTAGAACAGAAAAGGGCACTTCCAAAACTGTAGCAACAAAAATGGAAGCATAATTCATGCATTTAAAAATTGTATTTCCATCTCTGTTGCTTCAGTTTTGGAAGTGTCTAAAATGACTGTACCCATATGCACAAGTCATTGGTGTTTGGTCTAAGTTTTTGGCTCAAGGACTGCATTTACAGTCACACCAGAGGTGTTTAGCTGGGATTAGGACTTGGCTTTATGCAGACCAGTCAAGTTCTTCCACACTGACTGAATCAACCATTTCTATTTGAACCTTGCCTTATACACAGCGATATTGTCATGTTAGATTAGAAAAGGGTTTAAATGCAGACCTTGAGCCAAAAACCCATCACCAAACACCACTGACCTGTACATACACTATATGGACAAAAGTATTGGGAACTTCTTTAGAACTGAAAAGGCACTTTTCAGTTTTTTCACACTGTGGCAATAAAGATGGAAACATAATTCATGTATTTAAAAATTGTAATTCCATCTCTGTTGCAACAGTTTTGGAAGTGTCTAAATACCCATATGTACAAGTCATTGGTGTTTGGTGATGAGTTTTTGGCTCAAGGTCTGCATTTAAAGTCACACCAGAGGTGTTCAGATGGGATTAGGACTTGGCTTTCTGCAGACCAGTCAAGTTCTTCCAAACTGACTGAATCAGTCATTTCTTTTTGAACCTTGCCTTATACACAGATGCATTGTCATGTTAGAATAGAAAAAGGTCCTGCCCAAACTGTTTCTATAAAATTAGAAGCACACAATTCCCTAGAATATCATTATATGGTTAAACATTATGATTTGTTCTCTTGGAAATGACTAAAGTAGTCAAACCTGTTCATTAGAAGGGGGTGTCCCAATACTTTTGGCAATTTAGTTTATGTTGCGTATTTGGGTGTCTAATCTTTCATTTACAACCCTTAAAGGGATAGTTCACCCACAAAAGGAAAATTACCCCATGATTTACTCACCCTCAAGTCATCCTCCTAGGTGTTTATGACTTTCTTCTTTATGACGAATACAATCTGCGTTATATTAAAAAATGTCCTGGCTCTTCCTAGCTTTATAATGGCAGTAAATGGGGGTCAAGATTTTAAAGCCCAAAAAAGTTCATCCATTCATCATAAAAAGTGTTCCACACGGCTCCGGGGTGTTAATAAAGCCCTTCTGAAGTGAATACTACATTCTATGTCATCTGCTGGAACGCCACTCTCTAGTGAATGCGCATACGACAGTTAGCGGAAGCTAGAGATTATGGTATATAAAGTTTTAAATATAGATATTTTTCTTACATAAACGCATTGAATGACTTCAGAAGGCCTTTATTAACCCTCTGGAGCTGTGTGGAGCACTTTTTATGATGGATGTATGCATTTTTTGGGCTTTAATATCTCAACCCCTATTCACTGCCATTATGACGCTTGGAAGAGTCAGGACATTTTTAATATACAGTAACTCCGATTGTATTAATCTGAAATAAGAAAGTCATATACACCTAGGATGGCTTGAGGGTGAGTAAAACATTGGGTAATTTTCATTTTTGGATGAACTATCCATTAAAAATATTTATCAAATTATACTGTATGTGTTTAAATATTTTATATATGTCATGACTGATTTTAACATAATTTTAAGAAATACTTTCACAGCAGCACATTAGAATGATTTCTGAAGGCTCATGTGATAAATATATTAAAATACTTTAAATATTCAATAAATGTATTTATACAAATATTTTCAAATGTATTATAATATGCAATATTTAAAATCAAATTTTTTAAACATTTAATAAATTAATACACTTTAATAACATTTAAATATTTAATATTTTGTAGAACTGCTGAAGTTCTTCGGTTTTATTCAAAGGGCTTTAGAATAAAACTATGTTTATCTCTTGTATTCATCAAGGCATTTTTTCCACAGGTATTTGGTTATTTGAACTTTGTGCTGTGGGCTGGAAACATCTGGTTTGTGTTTAAAGAGACAGGATGGCACAAGGGAGGTGCAGCAAGGTACCCTGCCTCGTCCTCAGAAAAACAAACCACAGCCTTCAACCAGCAGGTCTACAACCAGGGAAGGTTTGATCAGTCAGGAGGAGCTTTTACTGGAACGGGGGACTTCGCCCAATCAGAGTACAGCCAGGTGGGAAATTATGGTGGGCCCACCTCCTACACCAATCAGTAACGGCCTCTGCCTCTCTGTAATCCCCTAACACGGGACCCATTTCTAAGGGCAAAGTTCAACACTGAGCACAAGAGAAGAAGGAAAAGATTAGTTTAACAGATAGATTAAAATGCATCCTTTATTTCTGATTATATAAATAAATAAAGGCTTGTTTGTTGAGAATACTAATACATTTTTAAAATAAATGACAGGGATCCTCAGATGTATTGTATGGTTTTTGATTTTACCTGTCCATAAATGTTACTGAAATATCCCTGTTTACTGAACAAAGGTCATTGCATCCAAATGTGAAACTCAAGTGCAATAGTTCTTGCAGGGAGCTCTGCAAATCCATTGTTTTTAATGGAGATGACGCATCTGAAGGACGAGGAAAAATGAAGAGTTTGCAAACGTGATATTATGTAACTACGACCAAAAGTTTTTAGAGACAGTCCATTTGTAATCTAAATAGTAGGCCTATTTCTGCTCCATTTGAAACTGAACCGACTCTTTCTACAACTTTAAAATGATTCCTATTTGTCAAATGCTCCATCAGAGCTTTTTCAAGTGTGTAGGCGGCCATAAAGTCAACATGAATTGATGTTTGCAACCTATTTTACTTCCATAATGTGACATATTTGGAGTCATAACGAATATGAAGTTGCTAAAACAATAGCTATTCAGTCACTGGTTAACACCAGCCACTATCCATCGCTACAGGAAAGTCATTTCAGAGGCAGAACAAATTAATGTTTTCATTAAAGATTACAAGGAGAAACTTTTTTCAAGCTATTTAAATTTTTTTGAAATAACATTCACAGATGAATCATCCACAGTCAGAGCATGAATGTGCATTAAGAAAGATTTCATGTTGACTTTTAAAGAAACAGTTTACCCAAAAATGTACTCAACCTCAGGTCATCCAAGATGTAGATGAGTTTGTTTTGTTACTGGAACAGATTTAGGGAAATGTAGCATTATTTAGCAGTGAATGGGTGCCGTCACAATGAGAGTTCAAACATCTGATAAAAACATCATTCTAACCCAAATGTAATCCACACGACTCCAGTCCATCAGTTACCGTCTTGTGAATGTCTATCCACCATACTTCTGTCTCTAGCGAAAAAGTAATCTAGTCTGAATCAGGAGAGAAATATGCACAGATTAAGCACTGTTTACAAGTGAAAACAAAATGAAACAAATTTGTTGGTGGATTTTGATGTGAGAGGATAATATGTGATGGACTTTTCACTGGAGAAAGTGTTTTTATGGATTATGGACTGGTATTCTGACCAGAAGTGACGGTGTAAAGTTACAACAGCTTAAAGGCACAATATGTACGATTTTTTTAATTAAAATATCCAAAAACCACTAGAACAGTGTTATATATTTTTCTGACTTGTGTACTTACATTATCCCAAATGATTCGAAGAATGTTTAAATCCAGAGAAATAAGCAATTTTAACTAGTGACACGGACCGTGTCATTGTGTCGCCTGCCAATGACGTCATACACCCTCGATTTCCAGTTTTGTTTCGTAGAAAATATGGAAACACCAAAGACGCTTTAATATGTTATGCGTTTTATTAGACAGGTGACGACCGCACAGAGTAGCATTATAACTTTCAAATGTATCTAGTATGACAAAACAGCACTGCTTTTTTTTCCCCCACATACGCACGACCAGAAGGAGCGGAAGCGGTCGACTGTGGCATAATAAAAGCTCTGCTGCTTTC